CACATGATTTATTCCTATGATGTTTTATCTAAGACTTTTAAAGGTTGAACTTTCACATTTGCACCTTTGATTTATTTATTTTATAAGCTAACTTTTGTTTGTCAATCATGGGGCTTGAACTCGGCCTGGCCACTGTCCCTGAGCTCTTCAGCTCAAGGCCAGTATTCTACCACTTGAACCACAGCGCCACTTCCAGTTTTCTGGCAGTTAACTGGAGATAAGAGTCTCATGGACTTTCCTGCCTGGGCTGGCTTTGAACCATGATCCTCAGATCTCAGCCTCCTGAGTAGCTAGGATGACAGGCGTGAGCTACCAGCCCGATCAATTCTTTTAATGATTTTTTTCTCTGTGTGTAGGATTCCTGATTTAAAAAAAAAATCCTTTTCCCCTGCATTTCTGATATGACAAAGTAAAAAACAATGAAGTAACAATTCAGATTTGGTGTAAATGTATGTATAATCATTACATGGCCAGATCTAGAATTAGTTGCTAGGAGATAAGCCAGCGTTTGAATGATATCGAATAGGCTGTGATGTTCACAATTTAGTATAGTTAACATGGCAGAGGGGGAAAAATAGCGTAGACTGTTTGGTTCAAATGTTGGTCCACCCACTTCAAGCTAGGTCTGGTGATAAACACCTATAACCCCAGCTACTTGGGATGCATAGGTTGGAGCTTCTTCTGGAGACTGGGTTTTTGCCACAGGCAAAAATTTGCCATACTATGTCGAATCAAAAAAAAGGACTGAGGATGCGGCTCAAGCGGTAGACCCTATGCATAGCGAGCAGAAGGCCAGGAGTTCAAACCCAGGTCTTGCCTTCACACACATGCACTGGTCACTTGTAGCCAGGCGTGGGATGCCGTGGAAGGAGGCGGGAGTTCAGGGCCGCTAGTGAAACCCTGCACAAAAGGGAGTAGGGGTGGTGTTATGGGAGGTGACTTCACACAGATTTTCTGAGTGTTCACCGTGAGGGTGGTTCGGGCCCCTCATGTGTTCTCAACCGAGGGCTCAGCATGTCAGAGGCATGGGTTCTAATCCCGAGCCCCACTGCCATAGGTGTGGGCTGACCAAAGCCAGCCACCACGATAACAGGTTAAAAAGACCTTCAGAGCTGTGTAACACTGCTTTCAATCCCATCTTCACCAAGCAGACTGAGGTTTTGGAACTTGGTGCCCGCAGGGGTCACTGTGGTTACGTACTGTGCCCTGATGACGCATACAGCATCTTATTTTGTTTTTTTTTTTTGTTTGTTCTGTTTTGCCAGTCCTGGGGCTTGAACTCAGGGCCTGGGCGCTGTCCCTGAGCTGCTTTTGCTCCAAAAAGCAAGCACTCTACCACTTGACCCACAGTGCCATGTCCGATTTTTCTGTGTATGTGGTACTGAGGAATCGAACCCAGGGCTTCACGCATGCTAGCCGAGCACTCTACCACTGAGCCACCTCCCGGTCCTTGTTTTTTTAAGCCGATACTGGGGCTTGAACTTCAGGCCTGGGTGCTGTCCCTTAGCTTCTTCAACCAAGGCTGGCACTCTACGACTTGAACCATACTTCTACTTACAGATTTTTGGGGGTTACTTGGAGATAAGAGTCTCACGATACTTTCCTGTCCAGGCTGGCTTTGATCCATGATTCTCAGATCTCAGCCTCCTGAGTAGCTAGGATGACAGGTCCGGCTGTTTTTGGGTAGCTCCTCTGCCATATCGTTTACCTATACCACATTGATATAATGAGAATATTAAGTATGAAGTACCAATGGTATTTAAAAAACAAAACTAAACTAAACTAACTGCAGAGGGGAGTGGTCCATTGCCCCCTCTGGGGTTTGCCGCTGTTGAGTGATTGCACGTGGCCACCGTTTCACAGCAGTGGCAGACATTGGTGTGTCTGTTTGACATTTTGATTTCAAAGATCCCATTATAGTCTTGCTCCAGATGCCGTGAGTTCCTCAGTGACAGGCCTAAGGCTTTGTTGGCTGTAAGGCGCTTTTATAGATGTCTGGTTATTGCCTCAGTGTGAGCATGCTCTGTCCCTGTGGGGCTGGTGTGTGGGCTGCAGGTTCCTTACAGCCCAGTTCCTGACGCTGTGTGAACCCCAGCCGTGACCACAGCTGATGGTGCTGAGTGCAGGAGGGGCTTTCAGAACAAGACATGTGTTCCATGTAGGTCAGTCCCAAGGAGAGGTGTCCTTTGTCATTGTATATGGGAATGGCCACCAGATTTCTGTGTTCCTCACGGGAGTATGCATTTAGTTTCCTGAATATTCCTACAATTGTAATTGACATTTTCTGACTGGAGTCTCTTTGTGAGGAGCCAACTTGGGAGTGTATAGAAGAGTGTTCTGATCTGGGGATGTAAGAAGATACTCATATCCTTTGTTTTGTAAGGACGATTATGCCATCTTCATATGCTGTATTGTCCCAGCGTTGCCAGTCCAGTCCATCTTTGTAGAGTCTTTGTTTTTTCTTCTTCTTCTTTTTCTTTTCCTCCTCCTCCTCCTCCTCTTCCTCTTCCTCCTCCTCTTCCTCTTCCTCCTCCTCCTCTTCCTCTTCCTCTTCCTCCTCTTCTTCCTCTTCCTTCTCCTTCTCCTTCTTCTCTTCTTCTTGTTCTTTTGGCCAGCCCTAGGGCTTGAAATAAGAGTCTGAACACTGTCCCTAAGCTTTTTTTTTTTTTTTTTGCCAGTCCAGGGGGTCTGAACTCTGGGCCTGGGCGCTGTCCCCCAGCTCTTCAGCTCAAGGCTAGTGCTCTACCACTTGAGCCACAGCACCACTTTGTTTTTTTCTGTTTATGTGGTACTGAGGAATCAACCCAGGGCTTCATAGGGCTTCATGCATGCTAGGCAAGCACTCTACCACTAAGCCACATTCCCAGCCCCATAGTTACTCTTAAGGAGACAGATTTGAAGGAAGCACACATGTGCACATACTAATGTCTTGGAAAGAACTCTACTAGCAATAACAGGAATTTACTAAGCTGTCATTAAAGACAGTTCCTTTCTTGTTTTATGGTGTGTATTGTAAGTCTCTAGAATGCACTGCTTACAAATAGCTGGGTAGTTACTTGTTCGAAACTATAGTGTAGAAGAAGGGCTGCCATTTGCTGAGCTCTTACACCCACCTGGGATTGTTGAAGGTAATGCTGTCTTTACCTTAGGGCAAGGACATCCAGGCTCTTAAGACATTAATTATTCCCCATGTCACCCAGAAGCGTTGGAGACCAGTGTTGTTGCGCAGCCTGTGCCGTTAGAAGCACGTGTACAATAGTAAGACCTGGTGTTCTCAGCCTCAGTCACCCAGCCTTAGTGATGCGTCTGGGATGAAGGTGGGTGCTGAGACAGGTAACGCGAAACAGTCGGACCCTTTGGCCCTTTGAACTCTTCTCTGGGTTGAGAGAGAATTGTTTTCTGGTGTTGGTGACAACCTTTCACATATCATTGACATACAATATTTTTTCACATATTTAAAGTATATAAGTTTTTGCATATGTGTGCATCTGTGAGAACTTCATCCTTGTGTCAGAAAAACCCATAATAAAACAAAGATTGGCTGGGGTGACTTAAGTAAGAATTACTATAAGTCTTTTTGCATCTTATATTGATAAAATTTTCTTAAATATACTTCTATGCTTCAGAAAGACTTGTTTTTTGTTTTTTCCTCCAGTCCTGGGTCTTGAACTCTCTCCCTGAGCCTAGCTGTTCAAGGCTAGTGCTCTATCACTTGAACCACAACACCACTTCCAGCTTTTTCTGTTTATGGGGTACTGAGGAACTGAACCCAGGGCTTCATGCATGCTAGGCAAGCACTGTACCACTAAGCCACATCCCCAGCTCCAGAAAGACTAATTAATTGAAGACTTCTGGTAGGTGCGGTATTGGTGTGTTCTCTGATTTGAATCACCTTAAATGGCACATTAAGTTCTCTGTGATATATTGTTTGTAACAACTGTTTTCACCCCTCCATTTATCTTTTTCTCGGACTGAGAATATCTGACTAGAATACAAAGAGTGACGCAAACACTGGACTGCATGGGTCAGTTATTTCTGGAATGAGAATAAATGGAATCGAGTGTTCTCTTGTTCCAAGAAAGTACATAATTCATTTGTTAGAAGTTTGGCCTCAGAGCTTTTAATATTATCAAAAGTAAGTGACTGTTACTCAGAAGGCTAAGATCTGAGGATTGTGGTTCGCAGCCAGCCAGGGCAGCAAAGTCCATGGGACTCTTTTTTTTTGGGTCCGGTCGTGGGGCTGTCCCTCAGCTCTTCAGCTCAAGGCTAGCGCTCTACCACTTGAGCCACAGTGCCACTTCCGGCTTTTTTCTTTTTGCTTATGTGGTGCTGA